TTGTATAAAGAAAAATTTTAAAATTAAATAAAACGAATTAATATATATTTGAATTTTTGCAACTTTGTAAACTCAATAACTGTATTTTAATAAGTTCAAAAATCATAATTAAATTATTGAGAGATTAATAAAAATTCAAATAATAAAACTAAAATCATTTCAATAATAAAATAAATACAATTAAATTATATGATGGGAAAATAATCCATATGGTTTTAGGAATTCAATTTGTAATAATGGGGTATTCCACCTTCAATTGTGGACTACAGACCACACTAGCTTTATCGAACCGACCCAGTGTTTCCCGTGACCCACAGTCCAAGCAGGGGTTCATTAGCGGGTCACTAAAGTTAGGTCAATGCATCAAGGGGTCGCAATCCCAGTCTGTGGATTACAGGTCCTCCCCTAGATACGAGTTAAGGTCACCACGACCTGATGCGACCACAACTCTATGGTGCATAAGGGTATCTCTTGCACATGCATACGCTTCACCCAAAGGTGGATATCTGGCTTTCCCGAACGATCTATCAATATGCATACCGTGTGATTGAACATGGATGAGGTTTTGGCCCCCGTCTCAGTAGGCCTACCATCACACACAAGGGTCACACAGTCCCCGGCTCTCTCATCTAGGCATAAGCTCTGACCTCATCAAGGGCTAACCCAAAACCCTCATCGGTTAATTCTTTATGCACAGGTACCTTGGGTTTTACAACTAACTGGCCTATATCGATAAGCACAGTCCGGTATAAGCAAACATCGTTCGCTTAGTATGGTTCTCGAGAGACCACACTCCCATTGAGTTTATGTTTCACTATAATAAAAGTATTTCAATACACATTCATAATGCCCTTAAAGGCCAAATAAACCCAACATAAATTAGTTCAGGGCGTTAGAAGAAATAAAATCTACAATTTTTATGCCCCAAGATATATTTTAAAACCTTGGGTCTATTATGAAATAAAACCTAAAAATAAGGGATATGAAGATATTTTCCCTAATTTATATATACATACTATTATAATATTATACTATATTATTTCTAGGACACAGTTCCTCCGGGCAATCCAAATAGTAGATGAACATCGATGCTATCCAAACATAAAACACCTATATTCTTGGGGATTCCAAGTCCACAAGATATAAATTCTAGGTGGGATATCTCCCTAGAAAACCCATCTCCTGGGAACCAAACAGGGTTTAGGGAATTTGCTTGACGCCAAAGTTTGTGTGAGACCCACATTTATCTCAATTAAGAATAAAAAAAAGACACCTAGAAAATGATTTTTATTTAAGAGAGAAATATAGCGAATTTAAGCTCCAGTACAGATAAAATAAAAAGTTTATATTAGGTTGCAATCTTAAAATATGGAATTAAAGTTGTCCCTCAAAAATCTATAATAAGAAGTTATTTTTAAATGTTGAAAAACCCTCTAATTGATCATCTCAACATCGAGATGTATGACTATGAAAAGAAAAAAAGATTCCGTGTAGGCAAAATACTGTATCTTACAACACATTATCTTGATCTTCCATTTTCAAGATTTTCATGTATTTATAGATACTTGATTTGAACTATTTTTAGAGTTTAAAATTTTATAATTAGAGATTAAATTAGATTCTCAAGCCATCGTAAGGACTTTTTATATCAAAATTACATTTACGATAAATTTTAAATTATTCATCTGGTGATAGCATGAACAAATACAAAATCTGAGATTAAACAAAGGTCTCAATCTAATGGGAAAAGTTTATATAGAGCCGAGGCTCTAAACAATCAAATTCGAGCCTACCTCAAAACTTTCACTAGAAGAGGTTATTTTGATGCCCAAATATCCTCAAATTGATCATCTCGACATCAAGAAGCATGGACATGAGAAAAAAATAGATTTCAAGTTCTGGAAATAGTAAATTTTGTACCCGCATATTTGGAACGTCAATTTTAAAGATTTTCAAGTTTTTATAGATATCTCAATCTATACTATTTTTGAAGCTTTAAACTTTATAAATAAATATGAAAATATATTTTAAAGCTATCAAAATGATTTTCAGTATTGAAACCACATTTCTCGACACTATTTGAAGGTAGGCTCTATACAAACCTCACCCCAAGCTAATACCTTTTTGTCTTTGGGTATGGTTTGCATAAGGTTGCACCCTTAAACAATCCAATTAAGGCGGAAAAAAAAAAAAGGGGAAGATTTTAGGCTCTTAAAGCCTTATATCTAAAATGTCTAGCTAAGTTCAATCTATTTTCACCTTCCAAAGGTAAATTTTTTTTTTTTTTTTCTTTTTTTTTTTTAACTAGTGTGTGCACAAATGTGAGGTCAGAAAAATCCCTATAGGTAAGAGCACCAACTGTCTACTTCATTCTGGACAGTAAATTCATGGATTTTCAATTGTATTGATCTCTTGGTTGCTGGCTAATCAGGAATGGAAAGAAGTAGTAAGTCCTTGAAAATAATTTGCAGTAAAATATGTTTGTGAGAAGGATTTGTATGGAATGCTCCTGAGGGAGCCCTTAGAGTAAAGAAGGATTTTCTGGATTCAAATTTTTACACATTTTTAAATTTAAAAACTTTAATCCCTAAATACTTAAATTTTAAATTTTAAAAATCACTTTTTAAGTACCTACAAAAGACTCTCTTATGAATAAAATAAGAATAGATTTCGTTCACTATTTGGCTAGATAAGTTATGTTTAGTACTCAAAATTTAAAGGAAACGGTTTCTCTATGAGTCCATAGAAATGAGTGGACTCTTAAAAATCTATTTTTGAGATGGACTTTCGGACCTAATTTTTAAGGACATGTAATCTTTAACATGGAGATCATGACTAAATATAAAAAATAAATAAATTTTAAGAAATAAAGATAATGATTTTATGAAGAAAACATTTGAACCCTTAGTTTCAATTGTTTTTAGATGGACCACCGATTTACATTCATCTTTAAGATGAATGCTTTATACCTTGGATCGCATATTGTAGAAATGCGGTCCAACCCACATGAAACAATTTTTCAAATCTAATTTGTTTTTAAATACTTATCTATTTAAGTGCAAAATAAAAAAATTCACCTTAGGGACTATTCAAATAAGTGTTTAGTAACTCACACTTTAGTTTATTTTCTCAAAATATGTATACATTGATGTGAAAAACCTAATTTTATTGAGCAGTAATTTCATGCAATCGTTGTATAGTAATATAATGTATAATCTTCAAAAACCATGTTCACGCTATTTGTTTGTTAAAATTTTTAAAAGGGGGGGCTTCGTATAGAGCCAAGGCTCTAAGCAGTCAAAGTAAAGCCCACCTTCAAATAGTATCGAGTAATGTGGTTTTTATATTGGAAATATTTGTGATAGCCTTAAAATATGTTTTCATCATTAATTATAAAATTTAAAGCCTAAAAAATAGTGTGGATCGAGCAAATCTATGAAAACTTGAAAATCTTGAAGATTGATGGTCTACACAAGATGTACTATTTCCAACACTTGAAATCCATTTTTTTCTCATGTCCATGCATCTTGATGTTGAGATGATAAATTTGAGGATATTTGGGCATCAAAACAACCTCTTCTAGTAAAATTTTTAAGATGGGCTCTAATTTGATTGTTTAGAGTATCAACACTATATAAACTTCTCCCAATCTTGAAATATGCACGCTTGTCCTTCTGTTGAACAATCACAAAAAATAAAAAACATTTGAAAATACTAGAAAGTAAATTTTTAACCCAATTAATATAAACCTTCCATTTTGATTAGATGCTTAGATCTAAGGCTTTAGAAAGATTTATTTATTTATTTTTCAGTTTGTTTTAGCTGGTTTTATTATCATTAGATGAACAACATTAAGAAAGAAAAAAAATTATTTTGAGTTTCTAAAAGTTAAGATATTGAAATTCACCAAATAAATGGTCTAGATTTGTTATCACAGAGGACTCATTTTGATCATATTTAGGGTTCAAATTGAACCTTTTTTTTTTTTGGATTGATTATTGAGATGAAAAGAATGTATGCACAAAATTTTGGATCATATAAATATCACAAACATGGTTTTCTAGAAGTATGGCTATATTATACTATGATACAATCGTTGCATTAGATCACTGCCCAATTTTATTTTTTAAAAATACTTATTATTCATCCTAAAGTGGATCCCAAATTTCTCCAAAAAAATATCTTTATAATTGTGTTTCAGAAGTGGAAGTTTCTAGACGGTGAAGTTGACCGATCCACATCCACATTTGATTTTTGTTTTGCGGGACACATCCACGTTTGATATCACAATGTGGAAGTTGTAAAGTGGAAGGTCGGCCTTCCTGGCAACATTTTTTTAATATCAAAATGGGTCCATTTTAGAAGACCACCCTCTTATCAAAAATAAAGAAAGGGGTTTTCCGTAATTTGTGGGTGACTCCCTTCCACTTAAAAAAAAAAAAAAAGAAAAAAAGAAAAAAAGAAAAAAAAAGAAAAAAGAAAAAAAAGAACTCTACCAACACGCCTGGTATGTGTTTGTTTGATGGAAATATTTGAAAGTAGGAGACTTTAGTTTCACCAAATTTTAATCTCTATCCCTACGGTTTGAAACTCGCAACTTCCAATAGGTTTAAGATCGACTTCTATGATTTGTGAAAGAGGCCCCTCTTCCACCAATCAAATTTCTACACTGAGAGTGTAAGTGTACATCGTACCCCCGCGGGAGCATGATAGATGCGCTCCCATTCGAGGGACACGTGAGTTCATTGTGTCTTTTTTCCACTTTCGACGGAACTTAAGAATTAGCTATCGGATTGCCCCAGTGAGAAACAATCTGAGCCGTTGGATTGCAAGTCCAACACTAAAACCCAAATATATACGACTGTGAGGTTTTGTGATTCACAAGCAAACCCTAATTTCGCCCCCAGAGAGAGAGAGGGAGAGGGAGAGGGAGAGGGAGAGAGCTTGAAGGTTCATCAATGGCGACCGAAGCAGTGCAGGCTGTTGAGTCCGTCCAATGCTTCGGACGAAAGAAAACAGCAGTCGCAGTGACTTACTGCAAAAGAGGCCGAGGTCTCATCAAGATCAATGGCTGTCCTATCGAGCTTATGAGCTCTGACATCCTTCGTTACAAGGCTTATGAACCTATCTTAGTTCTTGGTCGCCATCGGTTTGCAGGCGTCGACATGAGGATTAGGGTTAAGGGAGGAGGTCAAACCTCTCGCATCTATGCCATTAGGCAGAGCATTGCTAAGGCTCTGGTTGCTTTCTACCAGAAATACGTTGACGAGCAATCGAAGAAGGAAATCAAAGATCTGTTGGTGAGGTATGATCGGACCCTACTTGTTGCTGATCCTCGTCGTTGTGAGCCTAAGAAATTTGGAGGTCGTGGTGCTCGTGCTCGTTTTCAGAAGTCGTATCGTTAGAGAGAGAAATGGAGGAGAGAGAATGCATGGAGAACGCTGCATTGTTTTGGTTCCTGTTATCTATTATTGCTTTCTGAAGAGTAATTTTTGTTTTAGGATGGATGTTATTGGATATTAGTTGAAACTTGTTTTGTTTCTGACTAGGTTTTTGTACTGGGTGGCTGACAAACCTAGTTGAATTTAGTGGTTTTTTATTTTTGTTATCAAGAAATGTATGGACTATTCATGAGTTTTTCAAATTTCTTGTTTGGTTTACTTCTAAGAAAATATGAATGGCCATGTAGTGAAATCTAGGTTAGGCTATTGCAGTTCTTACTTTCTTTTCTGTTGTTTCGCCTATTGAAATGACCATCTGATGGACATGGGGTGGATTTATATTCGTTATATTCTAGGAGTGCATATGATTTTCCCATGGATTCAATTTTATTTTCCCATGGATTCAATTTTTTTGTAATGGGTGCTTGTAGATTGGTACATATAGGTTCAAGAATATTTGATGCCTTGCAAGCTCGTTATTCATGACATGACTATTTGATTTAATGAACTGAGTAGTCAATGAATCCAAACCAGTGGAAATTCTTTCTTCCTTGCTACTTGCAAAAGTTTTTAGATTGATAACTTCATGTCTCAGTTCTGTGTGTGTTTGATGTTTATTTCAGGTTGTTCTATTGACGAAATGTCATGTGTAAACCTGTTCTGTTGAAATTGAGCACCATTAGAAAAATGTGTTGTCAAATTTGAGATCCACTATTTCCATAGTCAAAGAAAGAAGCCTTACCTTCTCCAGATGCTAAATCTTTAATCAATTGCAATCTAAACTATGATGCTTAATGTATCCAGAGGCCTTATTGTTTCCTCTATGGAGTCACTGTCAATCCTACTTTTTCCTTTTGGTACTCTGGTTTTCATGCATCTATCAATAAGAATGTGATTTAATGTATCACATTGAAATTCATCCAAATTTGAATTTATTCTTATATGCTGTGATTTTCATATCCTATTTAATCCTCAATTCTATGTTACCTCTGACGATTTTAAGGGGTTGTATCCTTGTTGTTTAATTGGAAGTATAATCTGCCAATTTGTTCATTGGTAGGCAAGAGTTCCATTGTCACTTAGTATGCTGATTTCATTAGACATTTGATATGTTCATCATCATTGGATTGTCCTTCTGCTTCATTTACTAATGGATAGGTTTTCTATGAGTCAACGGATTCATATGTACACGTGTTCCGCCTCTAAAATCCATCCTAAAGATGGATTGTTTGTCCAATTTTTTAGGGCTTCATGATCTAAGCCTAGGTGATCATGAATATGAAAAAAAATCAAAATTTAAAATGTGCTTTTTTTGGGGGAATTTTTTTGCATCGTCCATATGTTATTTTGCTCCTGTGCACTTTACACAGCCGTGCACTTTATGCAACATCCACCTTAAAGATGGATGTTCACCGGTCAGCTGGCTCACCTAAATTTTTCCTTTAATACTAGGTTTAATAAATTTAGAAATAAGTGCTTGGGGGAAAAACTATAACAGAATAGGATGAAATATTGAAGGAGTTTTGTTTTTTGACATGAAAATTTTGAAAAGCAATACTTGTGGAAGAAGGTTATGTGGTTGATAATGATCAAGAAGAACTTCAAGTAATGTAGAATGGTTACTGCTCAAATGCCTCCCGTTTGAGGATACTCATAAAGCATCATTCTATTAATAGTTCCATAGTTATGGTCGACTTGCTATTCTGGATCAATGCCACTGGGTGTAGACATACTTGGGCAATCGGTGACAATATATGATAAGAAGAATTGTTCACTGTATTTAGTCAGGTTATATTAGAGGCAATACACAATCTTTTTCTTCTCTGTTCTTAATAGGTGTTCAGATTTGATATATATTTCTTGAAGCATTTCTTCAACTGATGTTCCCTTGGAAAATCTTTACTGCTGAGTATTATCTCCTGATGGAATCACTTCTATTATAAAATCTAACTAGTAAGGATGACATTAGAGAACTAAGCGTAGGCATTATAGGTGGTCTTATATGGTAGAATAGGTCAACCGGTGCTAAACTAGGGTTATGGATCAAGGGAGACTTTTGGAGTAGAACATATCCCCTAGCTAAAATATGAGGAATAGAGTACAGATTGCAATATTTAGTGGCTTCCAGGAGTCCTAATTAAGAAGAAAATTCAACTTGATGGTATTGGTAGCTATTGTATATGCTAACCAAGTTGTGTCATTTGTCTTGTATGTGGTGAATAAGTTATATGTTATTATCTCTTGTTTGTATACTATTGTATGTGAAGTAGCCTTTTTATATAGCTCTACTATTCTATTATTGAAGATAAGGTGTTGATAGTGCTGTGATGGTTATATCTTCTTTGCTGTTTTTTTTATTTCACATTTTGTGATGATCATTTCTTGCGTGTTTCTCCAATCCATTTATATTCATGTGAACTGTTGTTTGTTTAGTGCAGAAGAACTTGCATTATCAACTGGCTATGCCTTTGAGCTACATTTTAAGTCATTCTCATTCTTTAATACTTCCTGCAACTGTCCTATTCGTTAATTGATGTGTTTATTTCAATAAAATTTGTAGCTTTGCCTAATGAAGAAGAAGTTGAAAGTTTGCCGTATATCTATGCATGTCATATTTGGAAAGTGGAATGACAATTATTTGATCACACACTTAAGATACTTAAAGGTGCTATGTTATATTTGCATGTCAGTGTATGTGTTAGAGCTTAACTCTGAACTGTGATGTGGTTGATGTTAGCACCCTTGCATAGCCCTCATACATCCTTGACCTCTTGTGTAGATTGTAGCTTGATTTTTATCAGTGTCTCTGAGTGATGTATGTGGATAATTTTGTCAGTCTTACAATTTTAGTTTTTTTGCATCTCACAATCATCTTGTGAATCGTATATAGGTTTAAGATCGTTCTCTGGTTTTCATGATTAGGTTTTGAAGTTTTATACTTTTCGAAGTTTACACTAGCAGTGCTGACAGTGAAGCCACTAAAGCGTCTTGTATTACTCTTCTTTATTTTCTGCTAGTGTTTTTGACATTTGTGTACTCTTTTGACCATGTATTAACTGTCATTCTTATAGGGATCCTCACTTTATTTCAAATTATGTTTAGTGGTATTATTTTCAGATGTTACCAGGTCGAATGTGAGTTGGTGGAGTTAGATGTGTTGGTTAAGATATCCTATTTCTGACTTTGTACTTGCTAGGATAGCATTAGCAATACTAGAGCTGGGTAAGAGGAAAAAGTATAATTTAGATTGATCACAACCATATGGTTATATGGTTAATGCATGGTTAGGGGGTCATACTCAGTTTTGTAGAATACTTCAATAGTTCGATTCAAATGAAGGAAATATAGAACAGTTCAAAAAGTTGCAGTCTTAAGAAAGAGGCTGGAAGATTTCATCTAGCGAAGTATATTAACTTTATATTTTTAACACTATCTGTACCTCTACAACTCGCTAGATCTTTCTGTGATTCCATAAGCTTTAGCCTTAACTCTATGAATTACTGATTGAAACTGTGCGCGGCACTCAGCCTGTGAATCAGCCAGTTTAAGATCGGCATGGTCTCTACAAGACTCGTCCAGTATCTGAAATCTAACATGGTAATCTCGGGAGTCTGAATTGTGAGCGAAGCCTGGCACTCTGCCAGGTCCAAACAACTGAGGTGTCGAGTCTCCAATCACTGCCATGAATGAATATATTTGGATGCCTCTTGCTTCTGTATGCTAGTCACGGTTACTAGTTATCAGGTGCCATTTAAGTACACCTTGCTTCAATCGCAATGGTGAGTTCCGTGGTATGGCCCAGGCAACCTATTTTCCACACGATTGTGCTGCAGAACTAAAAGGGAAATGGGAACATTGTCATTCGATGAGGTCGTGCAAGCCAAGAATCTATACACGCCCGGTTTCCAACTTTCATTGAGATCAATCAAGAGTATCTTCTCGGTGCAATCATATTTGTTTTTGGTGGATGCGACCTTCATACACTTGAACGCGCTTGAACCACATCTAGACAAAATTGAAGTGGGTAGATGAATCACATCTCGACAAATTGAAGTGGGTAGATGAGTAATGAAATATTGACGTGGGTAGATGAATCACATCTAGACAAATTGAAGTGGGTAGATAAGTAATGAAATGATACGCTTGTCGTGGCAGAAAAATGTGTAAAATATATTCCCTAACAAACTTGTTACAGTAAGACTTACTTAAACATGTATGGGTTTGGGAAAGGGACCTCTTGAAAATTGGGTTTATGTAATTAAACAAGGGGAAACATGTATGGGTTCGGGAAAGGGATCTCCTTTTTTTAAGTTAATGTAATTAAATAGGTTCGAATATGCCTTGCTTAGGGATGAAAATAATGGCCCCTTGTTGAGGTTATTGTGACACTTAAACCCCTTTGTTAGAGTGAAAAAAAATAAAATAAAAACAATATCTTTCGATGTGGTATTTTAGAGTTTCAAAAAATTAATCCAAACTTGATTTTTTTTATATGTATTTGATTTTGATGATGTTTTATTGGATTTTTGATAAATTTTTAAGCTTATTAGAGGGTTTTTAGGAAGTATTTATATTAGGAAGGGTTCTTGTTGGGTTGGAATTATGGATATAACCTAAATTCAAATGTTGGCTCTTGTAAAAATGTTTTTAAACAAACAAATGTTTTTGAAAACAAATAGAAACAAAAGTCTTGTCATTTGGATAAGTCCATTTATGGTTCTTCGAGAAGTGGTGATCTAAGTTGAAAGTAGATTCATAATGTGAATCTTAATGACAAAAGTATAAGATGTAATTATTGTATAAATGACACTAATAGGGGTATTCATTGGCTTAAGCTACCAGAAAGGAAGAGATTAAGCAATGTTTGAGCCCAATAAGCACAAAAAGCATGAAAAAGGTGAAAACGCACCCGAACAACCAATGCTTTTAGGGCCTCATTGGCATAAGAGCAATTAAAACTCTTAGGGCTTCATCTACAGAGTAAGATGAAGGTAGAAGAAGAAGGGAAAAGAATGAAAAAGAGGCATATTCAGAAAAAACAGAGGAGGACGAGTGCTATCTTAAAGAGGGAGATGACTATAATGATGATGGCATCTATTATGAAGCATATAATGTGGCTTACCTTGATTTTTCTTATGATGACCGAAAACACTTAACTTTTGGTGTTTTATATTTTCTTTTTCGTATTTTCTAGTTTCTTGTTTATACTATCTACTTTTACATCTATGCCTTTGTGGTTGTATCATTATATAGAAATATTGTTGTATGATTGTATCATTATATGAAAATATAGGTTATGGAATGATATGAATTATGAAGCAAAAGATTATGGAGCACCAAGTCTTTCT